GTGTTCATCTTCACTTAGAATTAAAGATGGACATTAAACCTCCTACTAAGGGAAAGCTCATAGACTAATAAGGAAGACACATGTTAATGAAATAATCCAATTAATAAGGCTGAAAGGAATGTCCTAAAGGAAAAATCTGATGGTGCTGGCATCCTACCTACCCTTAACTAGAGATAGAGTCGTGGCTTCTCTGCTGAGTCCCAGTTGAGCTGAGAGGTGCAAAAGGCATTGGTGCTCACCAAGCATTTTACAGTGTATTGTGATGTGGGGATCACATCTGTTTTTTCCTTTTTGATGAAAAGTTAAAGGAGGAGACTGTGGAAAGGCTGCTGCATATCTGAACACTAACAAGACCAGGATTCTACTTTTTTAAACAACACTCCTGGCCTCTTCAACTTGGTACGCTCCTCCAGGATGCCATCGTTATTAAACAGTACCCTACTTTTCTACAAATTGGAAAGTTTAAGGTTTAAGTTCAGTGAGAAACTTTATTTTCCAACTATCAACTAATAAGAGCCAGACCCGGCCTAACAGCAATATTGAAAGTCTGGTCTCCATTCAATGAATTCGGCCTTGAAGGCACATGTAAAGGGAGAAGTCTCCCATCCTGAAAAATCTGGCCCTGCTCTTCTCCTGATCTGAGATACCAGGTAATTTTCCATGTGGATTTGGCCTGAAAATACAGATGAAAAGTTCAAACAGGGACACAGTGTCTCCTTGGCCTAACACTGCAGGGACGTTTGCCTTAACCATACATTTTTTATTGTCCAGTTAAGTTTTGAGTAATTCAGCTGATGGGACTTTCAGCCCTGCTCATGGGCTGTGACTCATTCCACCATCAAATTAACAGCTCTTTTGGAAAATGTGTTTTCATGACTTTGCCAAAAATTTCCATGGCTTAATTTCATCCCTTTCTTCCCAAAGAAATGCTTTGAACAAATCCAGTGATTATGCATTTTAGAAAAGCTTTTATTTCAAATCATGGCAAATGCCTGACAATCTATTGCCTTCAACTCTCCTTAGCACTGCTTCCTGGTGCCTTCCTTCAGGTCCCTCACTGCCTGTCCTTCCATTCCCTCACTGTCTGTCCTGCCATTCCCTCACTGTCTGGCCTTCAGGTCGTTGGCTGTCTGTTTATTAACACTTTCTCCAGTGCTGGGAGTGGGTTACAATATCTTTAAACATCAAATTCATGGTTGCTTGCAAATTAAAAGCATAAATGCTTACCAAATGACTTCTCATTTAAGTTCGGATTAGGGCACTGGGTTATCTCCCTGCACCTTGAAGAACAAGATTTTACTCAGTTGCTTCATTTCTTAACTTCATCTACAAAATAATGAGACTAGACTAACTGACTCTATGGGACAGTCTACCGATAAAGCCGAAGTGCTCACTCTATTTAGGTCAGTATGAAACTGTAAGAATGTCTGTCCACATGTTCAAGCAGCACGCACGATATGACGCAGAATGAGCCATGAATACTGGGATGCAGAGTTCTGACTGCTACGTAAGAAAAACATGTCAGTCAACTGCAGCAAGATCCCACATGGCAAACTGTGTGGTTGTCTCAGACCCAGCAGCCTGGGAGACACACAGGGCACGTGTGCATGCATGCCCAAAGTCCTGAAGGGAGGGAGAAATGGAGAAGGGATTGCAGTGGGACCATCCCCCATGGGAGAATGCTTTCTCATTTTTCCCTCTCTCACTGTCTTGCTCAGAAGCATGCGCATGTCCTCTGGCAAAATTTAAAAATAAATAAATGAATAAAAGACAGCGAAAAACAAAGTGGCTACCCTCATTAAGCATGTTCTCACAGTCATGAGTCACAGGTCAGCTGGGGCAACTACTTCAATCCTGAGTGAGCTGGGTGAACTTCGGGTCATTGGCTTCAGGCCAAATGTAAGATTCAGGCGTACCCCACAGGTCTCTCATTCTTTTTTTTAAACAAATTTATTTAATTATTTATTTATTTATCTTTAAAAAAGGCTTTTTGCCTTGGGGTACATGCACTTGCTGAAGAAAGAGAGAGACAGTGAGAAGGAAAGTGAGAAATCACCTCTCCACAGGGATGGCCACACCACAATCCTATCCTTTTTAATTTCCTTTTTAAGGTTTTATAGTTTTCTTTGTAGAGGTCTTTGACTTCTTTGGTTAGTTTTATTCCTAAGTATCTTATACTTCTTGTCCTATGGTAAATAGAATTACATTCTTCAGTTCTGTCTCTGTCTGCTTGTTGTTTGTACATAGAAATGCTATAGATTTTGTAAGTTAATTTTGTATTCTGCCACTTTATTGTATGTATTTATTACTTCGAGAAGTTTTTTTATGGATACTATTGGGTCTTCTATATATACAATCATGTCATCTGCAAACGGAGATAATTTCAGCTCTTCTTTCTCTATTGGAATGCTTTTATTTCCTTCTCTTGTCTGATTGCATTGGCTAGAATTTCAAGTAGTATATTGATAGGAGCAGAGAAAGTGGGCATCCTTGACTTGTACCCGTTTTTAGTGAAAAAGCTTTCAGCTTTTCCCCATTCAGTATAATGTTAGCTGTAGATTTTTCATAACTGGCTTTTATTATGCTGAGAAATGGTCCTTCTATGCCAATTTTACTGAGAGACTTGATCATAAAGCCACATTGTATTTTGTCAAATGCTTTTTCTGCATTTATTGAAATGATCATATGGTTTTATCTTTCTTTCTGTTAATATGCTGTATTACATTTATGGTTTTGCATATGTTGAACCACCTTTGCATCCCTGGTTATTCATCACAACCTAATTAGTTGTGATGAATAGCCTTTTATATATGCTGTTGAATACAGTTAGCAAGTATCTTGTTGAGAATTATTGCATCTATATTCATCAGGAATATAGGCCTATAATTTTCCTTTTTTGTTGTATCCTTATGCATTTTGGGAATGTGGGTAATGGAGGCTTCATATAATGAATATGGAAGGGTTCCTTCCTTTTGGCTCTCTAGAAACAGTGTGAGTAGAATGGGGGTTACTTCTTCTTTAAAAGCTTGGTAAAATTTGGCAATGAAGCCATCGGGGCCTGGACTTTTAAAATATAGACTACATCATTTTTCTGCTCAAAATCTTCCAACAGCATCTCATAAGTTTTAGTCCAAATCAGAGTCCTTACCATGGCCTATAGATCCTCTGCCATCCAAGTCTCCGAGCCCTGGGACCTCGCTTCCCCTGCCCCACCTGGACCACACAGTCCCAGCCACGCTATGCTTCCTTGTGTTCCTTGGGCATGATCATACTTTCCAACTCAAGGGCTTTGAGCTGGGAAATCCCTCTTTCTTCATATGGCTATCTTCTTCATTCAAAGCATCAGCTTTTCAGAGAGTTTCCCTAATGTTCCCAGTGAAAGTAGACATGCACACATACACACTTTCACACGTAGTACGCACACACTCACATATATATATATACAGACTTCTATACACACATACACATTCAAGCATACCGCAAACACAGACACACTTAGGTACATATACATACACACCACACACATGCACACCGACACACTAATACATACATATACACAGACACAGACACAGACACCCACGCTTAAGCCATCATAAACTTAAAGGGAAGAGTTAGCTACACAATTTCCAGCTCCTACTAAACATTTGATGTTTTATTTGTCCTCCGAAAAATGCATTATCTACTATAATTTCCCAAGTTCCAAGTATCTGAGAGCCAGGATAACTTTAGGAATAAAGGTCATTTTTCACATTTTTATAGTAGTCTGGACAGTTGTGCTTTCAGTTCAATATTGAGATTTTATTTAATACTCTAGTCTCTCCCAGAAACAGGAGAATGATGCTCCCTTTGACAGCTAGATCTCACGACTGAGAAATGACGTCTGGAGCTGAGGCACCTGAGAGTTCACCATGCAATTCTTATAAACATTACAGGTCTTCTGGAGCCTATGAATTGCCTCCATTTAAACTCAAAAGCCCCATGACACAGTTCCCGGGGCCTGTAAACCCTGTGATACCAGCCATAATAACTCCCCTGGTAAGAACTAAGCTTCACTTCCTGCGGCCTGTAAAGGACCTTACCTGATCTTTAATATCAGTTGGAGCTAACGCGTCCCTGTGAAAGAAGCCCAGGCCTGGAGCCCAGAGAACCACAGTTCTGCCTGGTAGCTTGGCAAATGCCACAGGCACTCCTGTCTTGGGATGGCAACCCCTGTAAGCCTCACTTTCCCCATCCCTGGGGACGAGATATGACTACACTAAGGGGGTTAAGCCCGTACTGATCAGAATTATCCTATGCCTAGCACTGTACAGAGTGATACGGCCCCAAACTTGAAGGGTGAAGAAGCTAACAACAGAAGCAAATTTCCAACAGATTTCTTTTTGGTTTGTTTTTTAGTTTGCTCTTTGGATGAGTACATTTGCCACAGGGAGACAGGGAGATAGGAGCAAGCCATTTCCCCTCTTCTCCGGATTTTGGGCACACTCACACATGTGCCCAGCACAATTTTCAAGCCATAGGGTCTGAGGTTTGAACTCCTCAGTCAGCCATGTGGGATCCAGCCACCTTAACCTCCATACCACCTGCTGAAATCCAAAAGGTTATATTAATATATTGTGGGCATGTAAACTACATAACAAATAAGGGGCCTGGCATATAGAAGGTAAGCAATCATCTTCCCTAGAGACTCACGGACTCATAGAACTTTTCCAACATTAGGGTGACCACACACTAATTCGGGTTTGACCTGGCAGAGCCAGCTTTAGTCTATTGATCTGGGATGGTTATTGATAGCGTCTCATCCCACATCAAAAGTACAACAAAAAGGACAGTAAAGTATGTGGTCAACTTGCCCAATGCCCTCATCTTTGCAGAAGAAGAACAGCCCACCAAGGCAACGTGGTGGGCTACATCTGACGGCCACACCCCAGATCCCTGACCATTGTTAAAATTCTGAAGAAATTCTGGAATCCATAGCCTCTCCTACTCCTTTGACTCTTCACCTCTGAGAGAAGACTTTCCCTAGGCCCTCTGTTTATGTGGGACTCTGATCATAGGAAACATTTGTTCCTGAAATAACTTCAATCATCAATAATGAGATATACAGATGTAAGTAGCAGTCTATATCACTCTAATTTGCCAAACGGTGGTAAGATGTATTATTCACTTAGATTTTGAGCACGTTAGAATCCATTGAACTAAAAAAATTTGGAAATATTTGGATGCTAGTAAATAGTAAAATGGACCTTTACATCATTAACATAAATTCGACTGCTTTTACCATGAAAAGTCCAATATCAAGTATAGGATCTATCACTTAAAAAACAGTAAAGAGGGGCAGATTTCTCTTAGCAGCAAAGCTTGAAGTAAGGTAAGCCTGAGTGAAGTAAAAAATAAAAATGAAAGAGGAGTGAAGTTATTTCAATTAATCCTTGATAACTTTGCAAGATAGCTATTACCATTTCTTCCTGGGTTTTTTGGTTTTTGGTTTGTTTGTTTCAGTTTTGCTACAGGATACATGAACTCCCCGGAGGGAGACAGAGAGGAAGAGAGAGAAGGAAAGTGAGAAATCACCGTCCGGGGGGATGGCCACACTGCAATCCCTTCTCCTACATCCTCCACTTGGGAATTTTAGGCACGCGTACACATGTGCCTGGCATGTTTTCCTTTCTTTCTTTTTTTTTGTTTTAAGATTTTTGCCATAGGGCGTGTGTTCACTGGAGAGAGACAGAGAGACACAGAGGACACAGAAAGAGTGAAAGTGAAAAATCAGCCCACAGGGAGTGGCCATGCTGCAATCTCTTCTCTTCCATTCTCTTCTTGAGATTTTGGGCACAAATGAAAAAACACTCAGTGTGTTTTTCACACACACACACACACACACACACACACACAAAAAAAGAACAATCAGGTCCAGGACTTAAACCATGGAGTCAACCATGTGGGATCCAGCACCTTATCCACCATGTCACCTGTTGGCCCAATATTATCAGTTGGAGTAATGGCTATCTCACTGGATTCCCATGTAATTGACCACGGTTTGCGTCCTGGACCGGGTGACTTAAACTCACACCTGGCGTGTGTGCATGTGTGCCCAAGATCCCAAGAAGAGAATGGAGAAGGGATTGAAGCGTGGTCATCCCCCCTGGGGGGGTGATTTCTCACTTTCTATCTCTCTGTCTCTCTCTGTCTTTCTGATGAGCACCCATACCCTATAGCAAAAACCTCTCCAAAAGATTTTAAAAGTAAAATAAAAAATAAAGAACTAGAGGTCTCCTCAAGTTTACCCAATATGATAATTTTTCTATTTGTTAATATGTCTAGGCTAGAGTCCCAAATTATTCCATCAAAAACAAAACTAAGTCAGGACCAGTAGTCGGCGTAATGGCTATGTCGCTGGACTCCCATGTAGTCGACTGAGGTTTGAATCCCAGACCCGGCGGCTTAAAATCATGCTGGGTGCGTGTGCATGTGTGTCCAAGATCCCAAGAGGAGAATGGAGGAGAACGGATTGTGGGCGTGGCCATCCACCCTGGGGGGGGATTTCTCGCTTTCTGTCTCTCTGTCTCTCTCTTTCTGGCGAGCACACGCACCCTATAGCAAAAAAACTCTCAAAAAATAAATAAATAAATAAACCTAAGTGTTGCTAGGAAAATCATTTGTAGATGTTATTAAAATCTGTAAGTAGTTGACTTCAAGAAAGATTATCTTAGAGAACCTGGGTGGGCCTGACTCAAGCAGTTGAAAGGTCTTAAGGCCTTAAGAGCAGAACTAAAGCTTCCTTGAAGAATAGGACTTTCTCCTATGGGCTACAGCTTTAGCTCTTACCCACACATTCCAATCCACCCTTTCAACAGCCTTCCCTATGGAATTCAGACTTGCCTCGCCAGCCCCACATCATGTAAGGAAACTCCTTACAAAAAAATGTTCTTCTCCCGTGAAGTGACTGACACACCAAACTAGTACAGAGTATAACCAGAGGTAGTGCTTGGGCCTCTAAAACTATATTCTAGCTCCCTAGGGTGATTTCATAAAACCCTTTGGGAGGATTTTCTCAATGTGGGGAGTGGTTCACAATTTAATGAAAATTTCAAGCTGTGTCAACTGCTAATAAAGCATTGCCTTTTGCTTATATATATATCAATTGTGTGCAAAAAGACTAATTTCAGATGGGAAATGTGAAAGAAAGAGGAGGAGAAAAAGAAATTATGAATAATATGGATTAATAATTACGAAGTATTATTAAGAGTATTCACATTCTTTATATAATTTACAAAATACAGTAAACTAGATTAATATTCAAAGGTACTAATTTCCCCTCTGAAGCATACGTGAGAGTACACTTTCCCGTTCCTGACTTTGGGCTTAGACACATGACTTTTGGTTAGTAATCTAAGATGACCCCCATGAGTCCCATTTCTCAGTGACATTTCCTCTCTTTTGCATAATGCATCCCTTTGACTTTCTTCTATAAAACACAGTAAATGTGCTGCAATATCACTTCCATGAATAGAACACATGAGATCCCGACTTCCATCTAGCTGGTAACTCTCCCCATGGCTGGTTTTGATGGAGCAAACTGCCATGTTTGAGCTGCTCTGTGGAAAAGTCCATGAGGCAAGGATTCGAGGAGTGTGGCTTCCACCCGAAAGCCAGAAAGAGCTACGATCTTAAATCCAACAACTTGCATAATTGGATCCTGCCAACAATCACAAGAGCTTGGAAACTCTTGCCTAGTTGAACTTTCAGATGAGATCCAGCCCTAAATGACGGTTTGCAGGCTCCTAAGAAACCTCGAGAACCCAGGTAAATCATCCCTATGTTCCTGAACTACATGATCTCTGAGGTAATCATTTGATGTTTTTCTAAGCCACTTAATGATAATGTGTTATGCAGAAAAATCTAATTTTACGCCCTTGCAATGCATAGCCAACACTGCAGCCAGAGAGATGATTCTAAACACAGTTTGACCATATTTTTTCTCTGATTCAAGCCTTTCCTTCAATGTTACAGTAAGAAAAATGTGGCAGTCACCGAGTGCCTATGATGCGCGATCTCATTTAATCCACAGAGACCAAGCAAAATTGAAGCTATGAATCCCCTATTACATGAAAAAAACAACTGGAGGATTCAGTAATTTATTAAAAACTATAAAGCTAAGAAATGACTCGGTCAAACCTGGAACCAAAAAGTGTCTGGCTTCAGAACTCTTCCTGTGACACCATGCTTCCACAGAGACCGAAGCTGCCTTTTCCGAAATTGGAGAGATACTGAAGTCATGCGAACTGGGGCAGATGAATCTGAAAGCCTGGAATGAGAGAAAGGTCATTAAACTGAGGGAAAGGAGACAACTGGAGTGGTTGCACACAATGTCTGACTTAGGAGAGTTCTATTGATCTTGGGAAACTGGAAGTTCAGCAAGAATAAGTTTGTTTAAATTCCAGGACTCTGGACTTAAGTAGACTCTTGAGAGATGTGTGAAACTTTAAGATAAAATTTCAAACTCAGGATTCTGAGGTCCTTACCATACACTCTACTGTGCTCTATGGATACCTGCCTTCAAGAGATCATCTTAATGCAGAAAACACAGGACCAGGTACTTACCCTGCCCCATCTAGGTTTAAGGTGTTCTCCTGTAGCAAAAATACACACTGTTCTGTCCTCACCATTCAGTACACACTCTGGCAAAAACTCACACCTCCTAGAAGTATCCCATTAACCTCGCAAACTCCCTCCATACCAAAAGCTATATCATCCTTTAAAATCCAAAAGGGCAGAGGAGAAAACCTCTCAGAAATCTTAGGAGGATGTTGAGGTGTGGCAGGCATGTTCTTAAAGAGGAGTCTTAGACAAATTGAGCATGTATCAAAGAGAGAAGAGAGCCAAGAAGTCTACCTTTCCCTCTCCTCAGATTTATGAATCTTTCAACTAAAGGCAAAAGCATCACTCCATCAAGATCAAAGCCCAGAAAGGTGAGGAAAAAAAGCATGAAGACTGAAGGTCCCCCCTGGGATGGAAGTACGCCTGTTTTATATGACATACATGGTCTGCATTCTAGAAAGCACAATACATAGGAAACCCATTTAATAGTCTCCATAAAATGAATACTTCCTTTCCATTAAGAATACAAAAAGATGGCTATCCTCCTTGCTTGGACTATATGAAGCAAAGGTTAAAAGTTCCACTGTGTTTTCTGCTCATGGAAAATAACTTGATTCATCATCCCAGAGTCCAGATTTTTCTTGGAAAAACAGAACATGGAGACTGAGTATTTGCAATACTTGGACTGCCATGGGCTATTGCATTAGGGTACTGTGCAAGGGCGTTTCTAATCATTGAAGTCAAAGTGGGCTGCAAAGACTGACTTAAAAGATAATAACGACACCAAAGAGCCTTAATAGTTTGCAGAAGTCTGTGATATCCATTCTGGAAGACTCCCTGCATACATGCCACATGATTCACAAACTCACTGATATTCCCTTTTTAATATTGCTATTTGGTGTGATGGTCATTAAAGGAAAGCTGTTAGGCAATGCTGCGATTATGGAAAAAGAACAAAGGCTGGGAGAAACCAACCTCTCAGTTCTAAGAAAAGAAACACAGAAAAGGAAATGAAAATATCAGAGAACCGTGCGTCCCATGATGCACGTTTCAGCCAAGTGCAGACATGTGCGAAAGGCTGCTCCGCCTGGTGGAGTAACACCTCATTCCTCAGCACTTGCGGACGTTGCAAAGGCCCGAGGACAAAAAGGAATGTAGGAATGCAGAAGACAAAGCACTAAACTAGGGATCTTCTGACCTGGATTTACCCATTTCTCTCTTTCATCTGTAAAATGGGAACAACACTAATTGTACTGCCAAAATCCTCAATTTATTCATCAAGGCATCCGTTTATTTCAGTCACTTCCATACAAGACACTGAGTAGAGGCATAAATGCACCTGCCCCCGAGCAGTTCCCAGCCAAGGAGGGGAGACGAGACATGCTCATCTAGTTGAGAGTATTAGGTGTCATAGTTAGTAATTAACCAGAGGAACTGATATCAATAGCTGCCAAAATTTTAAAATCAAATTTGTAAACTGTTCTCTCACAACATAGAATTTTATAGTA